TAAATCTGGCGTTCTGGGCCGGAACCGGCCCGCGGGCCATAGGTTGCCGACCCCTGCACTAGGTAGTGAAGTTGTTTCAACAAAGCAGTTATATGTTCAGATGCAAGACAAATACATTTTGCTTGGTGCTGAAATTTCCATTGCAATGGAGATATCTGGGTCCAGTTCTAAGGGCAATTCCTTCCCACCCTCAGATCCTCCTTCTGAATGCACAGCTTCCCTCTGGCTCCCTCAAGAACAGGGAGTTGGAAACTGAGATCATGATAATAAATTCATTTGAAATGTGGTGCTGGAGAAGAGTGCTGAGTATGCTATGGACAGCTAAAAAGACAAACAAATGGTTCCTAGAACAGATCAAGTCTGAAATCTCCATGAATGCCAAAATGATAAAGTTGAGGCTCTCATACTTTGGCATGACTCATTGAAAAAAGACAATAATAGCTGACCCTCCACATTTGTGGCTTTGATTATTTACGGATTTGATTAATATGTTCTCTCTGGGAATCTCTATGACCTCCAGTGCGACTCTGCCAGAAGTTGACCATACAGTTCTGCTGGAGAACCTAGACATTCCTAGAAAAACACTTCTCTAGGCATTTATAGGTGGTCCAGCATGATTCTGTAATCAACTTCTGGCAGATGCTGATCATAGAGTTGCACTGGAGGATCTGGAGATTCTTAGAGGCTGTCTGGGAGGCCAGCATATCCTCTCCAAATTCTCTTAGGTAAAAAGAATAGTGGTTTTTTATTTCTGTTTTTTCCACGTTCGCGGGCATCCTTCACTCCTAACCGCAGTGAATGTGGAGGGACCACTGTACAGGAAAGAAGGAATAATGTAGAGAAAAAGGAAGACCACATGCTAGATGCATGAATTCTGTTAAGGAGGTCATGGGTATGAATGTGCAGAATCTAAGCAAAGCAGTGGAGGACCAGGAATCTTGGCGATGTCTCAACCACAGGATCTCCATGAATCAAAACAACTCAAAAGGCAGTTAACAACAACAACATCAAATTAAGAATGAGCATGATAAATTCTTGGCTCGTATTTAATTAATGATTTCTTTTCTTTCTGTTTTATTTCAGGATAAGGGACTGCCGTGTTTTGAAAACAATCTGCTTGCGTACCTCTATTTTGTGGTCTTTATTGTATTTGGATCATTCTTCATGTTGAACCTATTTATAGGAGTTGTTATTGACAATTTTAACCAACAAAGGAAAAAGATATGTACCTAGCCTGGGCAGACTTAACTGCATTACAAAATCTTTCACTGTCACAAACTGTATCTGGCATGTGGGTTGAGATCACGTTGAGTATGTGTACAATATGGAGCTGTAATAGTTTACAGATGAGAATGGTCCATAGAGAACTAAGACTGAGGGGAAATGATCCTTGACACTTTGGTACTCAAGCCCTGGTTTTATTTACTTAAATAAGAGTACAGTTCCAAAGCCAGCAGGGTTAGGATTGGGTAGTGGTGACCCTATGTTGGCTTCCGCCAGTGGAAGGGAAACCCACTAGTATATTTGTGGTTGTCAGGGCTCTGTACACCTAGCTTATCTGTTTTGCCTGGAAAAGTTCAGCAGACAGAAAACTACCACTGGAAGTATCAAGTGGAAAGCCCCAAAAAAGGATTATTTATGTGAGTGGGCTTTGGGTCCCAGCATTATCAGTCCTCTGGATCCTGTGAGGGGCCTGATCTTGGGGTCCTTCAGCTATGCCACTTTGAAGTTGGTGTAGCAATTAATGAATGAATTAATTAAATATCTCCCATTTTTTGCCCAGACCAGTGAGAGCTAGCAAGGTTGAGGACTTAGTGGTGAATCTGTTATTTCACTCCTCCCTGACCTCACTCTGTATTGTTGTTGTTGTATACCCTCAAGTCATTTCTGACTTATGGCAACTCTAAAGCAAACCTATCATGGGGTTTTCTTGACAAGATTTGTTCAGAGAGGGTTTGCCTTTGTCTTCCTTTGAGGCTGAGAGATTGTAACTTGCCTAAGGTTACCCAGTGAGTTTCCATGGCTGGGTGGGGATTTAAACCCTGGCCTACAGAATCATAGTGCAATGCTCAAACCACTACACCACACTGTCTCTCTCACTTTTGATTACCTTTTTACTGATTACCTTAAGGAGTTTCACATATTTTACAAACATTATGCAATCATGCCTATTCTCGTCCCAGTGGCAGCTGGTGTGTCTAATATAAATGGTGTCATTCATCTGCCCCAGGTTTTAGTCTGAACTTCAAAGAAGCTTCCAAGAAGAGATGAGTGTATTTTGAGGAGAGAGCTTAGCATCTTGGATAGCTGTTTTAAAGGACTGACTGTAACCTGGAGTGTCATCATCACACTGACATGGAAGCCACCAGTGCTACTATTCCTTCCAGAAATTATCCCCCATCTCCATCCCCCACCCATAATAGTTAGGATTTTCAATTTTTGTTACTTTCTGTTTTTTTGTTAAATAGCAATAGCAATAGCAGCTTCATTTATATACCGCTTTATGCTGCGCTATGCAGTCTCTAAGTGGTTTACAACTGTAAGCTAATTGCCCCCAACAAGTTGGGTCCTCATTTTAGCAACCTTGGAAGAATGCAAGCCTGAGTCAAGCCTGAGCCCTGGCTGGTATTGAACTCACAGCCTTGTGGTTTGTGAGTGATTGGCTGCAGTATAGTTAAATAGTTAGGATTTGGGTTACTTCCACAGGTTCCAGATGGATGGATGGACAGATAGATAGGACATGAGGAAGGTGACAGGGATGTGATGTCAGAAAATTTATTCCTTTCTAATTTGCACACAATGTTACCCAGTTCATACCTTTGGTATGTGAGGTGCAAAGTATGTACACATCAAAATGTCTTCAGAATTTTGCAGTATGACTCAGGATATGCACAAAAGGTTATATTGAGGAAAAATGCACAATTGTGCATACATTTGAGGTGTTGTAGTGGTTAGGATGCATAGGAGATCCAGGTTTATGCCCCCACTGAGCCATGAATCTTTCATGGAATGACATACTCTTAGGGTTGCCTTGAGGATAAGGTGAAGAGCAGAGCCATATACACCAGCCTGGAGTTTTTCAGAGAACAGAAGATGGGGTTTAAATATGACTAATAAATTAAATAAATAGGCATTATGTTGGATACAATTATATTTTAAAAAGGCTAAAATTAGGAAGATTGTATACAAAAACCTCCATTATCTGTTAACTGGTTTGAATAAATTTGGGTTTTCTGGGGGAGACTTTGATACATAGTATGTTCAGGCAAAGAAATATTTTAAATTTAATAAAAGTGTTATTATCTTTTACTTAGGTGGAGAACTCATATTTTTGTCAGAAGATCAGAAGAAATATTATAATGCACTGAAAAAACTTGGTACCAAGAAACCCCTTAAACCTGTTCCACGGCCACTGGTAAGAAAGCAGCAGGCAGACATGTGTTGCTTTGTTAACATCTGACTTATAAAAACATTTCAAATACCATAGTAGTACAAACAGTTTAATAGAAATTAATTCTGAGTTTTGCTTGCATAGTCAAATTGGTTACCAGGAGGCCCTGAGGCATTTTATAGAAAAAATTATTATGGCATAAACTTATACTGCAGCAGGGAAACATACTGCATATACTTATGTATAAGTCTAGAAATTTTATGTTTAAAAAATTGATTTATCCATGGGTCAAGGTAAATGCTATACTTTAATGCTTATTTTTTTAAAAAAGGAATATAGTGCTATAACAAACACATAAAAAGGTGCAGTGTGATAGTCTCACCGATCTCTCAAGGAAGTGTGCCATACTATGTACTTCATGCATGAATCTATAAATCTGTGTTCAGTTTCAGGAAAACTGTTCCCCAGTTCTAAACATTATGACCAAGCAGAAACCTGACCTCCACTCAGTATAATCATCCAGTTCATAAGCAAAATATTGCCTTAATCAAGAACACTACTTTTTCATGCCCAGTCATCAAAGTTCTCTCAAAGAAAGAAAGGGAAAAAATTATTAGGGAATGCAAAGAATTGTCTATCACTTCAGCTTTGTTCTGGAATCCTCCAGTAATGTCAAAGCTTCTTTTTTCCCTCACCACAGAACAAGTGCCAAGGAATCCTTTATGACATTGTAAACAAGCAAGGATTTGATATTTTCATTATAAGTCTCATATTCTTAAATGTGGTGATCATGGCAGTGGAACATGAAGACCAAAACCCAGAAGTCAAAGAACTCCTTGAAACCATAAATGTTGTCTTTGTTGCCATCTTTACTGGAGAATGCATCATGAAAATGTTGGCTTTGAGGGTATATTTCTTCAGAGACAACTGGAACATATTTGATTTCATGGTGGTGATTCTTTCTATAATTAGTAAGTAAAAACCTCTCATCTTCAACTGTATCTTGTCAACACTAGGCAGATACAAAGTGAGATTGGGTCTTGCATTGTAAAGAAGTTTCATTGTCTTACATTCCAGGGATTTAGGAATCAGTGTGATTGCAAGAATGCAATAGAATATAGAATATAGCTTGATGAGCTAGCTACTCTGATCCAGCAAAGGCAATTTGGTATAGAGACAGGCTTCTATCCATTGCTCTTTTTGCATGGCCCATGTAAAAGTATAAAAATCTAGTACTCCAAAATGTGAGATTATCTCTTTTGGATCAGGTCCCAATGCCCCAATAAGTTCATCAAAAGAGACTCATTTCTTAGCACTGATCACTAATGTGGACAATGCAATAAAGTGTCTGAATCCACTTATCCTGAACCTCTCTAACTGATAGTGGCAAAACAGATCACTGCAAAATCTGCTTCCTAGGTAGCAGCTGGATACTGCCCCCACTCCAAGTTTGGATCAAGAACAAAACTTTCAAACCTGTTGTAACACTCTATAAATATGCACACTCTTTTAGTAAAGTATCATATTTCAAGTGATCATGCTTTAAGGAAAAAAACTTGAAAATATGGGGCAGAATTTCTGCTTAACATTTGGTCAAAGTTGGGCTTTCTGGTATTAGGGAAGGCTTTCTAACTACAGGAAGATGAGGGTCACCCTGCATTATGTCCTTGCAAAAACTGTATGCTTGATTGTTCACCTGTCCCTGTGATCATATTCCTTCTAATAAAGGCAGTGTTATAACACAGATATGTGATATTATGATTAACTGACATTGTACCACTGTGCCATCAGTGATAGATTTGATTTTTTTAAAAAAAAAACACTCTTCCTACTGATCTTTCTATATCAGAGAATGGTGTCATTATGGTTACAAGAAGGTTAGCTGTACCACTTAATAGTGTTACTATGCATAAAGGAAGAGTTACAATGAGAAAATGGCATTTTATTTTCTGTTACACGGGTTCCTAGATTTAGGAGGAACTCCTTTTGGTTGAAAGAAGTGCATCAAGATTAAAGTACTCCTTCACCTATCACAGTGAATGGGTGAATTCCACTTTGTCTAGTGTAGTGAATAAGGTGCTGTTTGAAGAAATACTTATCTCTCTTAATCCTATGAATTGTGAAATGAAGAATAATGAAGGAGTCTCAAATTCTTTTCCTTTCCTTCTTCTCTCTTCACTGCACACAGACAGTATAAACCAAAGCAGGAGATATTGCATTTCCATGAGGGCAGGATCTGCCCTTGAAGGTCATGTTCAATATCCAGGGTTAATCTGTATTTGAATAAATATGATCTGGGATTTCCAGTATGGGTTCTTATGTAATGTAAGGAAAACAAGAATGGAAATGTTTTATCCTAAAATCTATTCCAAACCACACCGTGCCTAATGATAAAGGAGAATAGTTTTCCAAATAGTCTCACCAACAATGCTGAAGGCAATGGCAATTCTTTGCTCTAAGAGGCCTTTGCTCTAATCTTGACCTTGCCCTAGAAAATAATGCTGTAGTCCTGCAAGAACTTAAAGTCATTATTTAAAGAATTGACATTACCATTTGGTAATGTCAATTCTTTAAATAATGACTTTAAGTCCTTGCAGGACTACAGCATTATTTTCTAGGGCAAGGTCAAGATTTTGTATTCGTTCTGCCCTTTACCACAGGGTTTCTGGATCTAGAAGTAGAACAGAATAAAAATTAAACAAGCCAACATAAGAAGTATGGGGGAAAGGCCTTAGTACATCTTTCCTCCATGCCCTCAATTCTCCCATTATAGTAATCCATATAATATAGTAATACTTATGATAAGCTGTTTTTTGGCAGGAATCCTACATGGGAATTCAAGTATGAATTACTGCACTTGATAACATGATAGAGTTAAATATGGAAAATTGTTTAGCATAAAATGGAAACTAAATTCCATTGACCCCCTCTATAGCTCTTTGCGGAGATTTCATGGAGCTGACTGCTTATAGGGAAAGGGCTTTTAATAATGTGTGGTATTGTCTGCATTTATTGCTGGATAATAGATATCTTTTAGATGGCTTAACTCTATTGATAATTTAATTATACTTATAAGAAGAACTTTTTAAAGAAATAATTACACTATTATTGTTGTTGTTAAATTATTTGAGATGCAGGCTCTTTGGGAAAAGAAAACAACTGTGGTTCCAGATGTGATAGAGAGTGATTCCAACCAGACCTATGGAACATGTGGATGAAATTGCCATAGATAGAATCACAAGAGCATAATTACAAAAAGTGACACTATTTGAAACATGCCACATTATCCAATGCTAAATCTCTAATTCTTAAATTGTTGGATAGACTCTGAATCACAGATGGTCCAAAACCCCAGTCAGTAACACATAGTAGATTGTGGAGTGAGATGATAATAGCCGGTAATGGGGTTTGAAAGAAATGTATTGTTTTGTGGTGTTTTTCTTTGTAAACCAGGTTGTGCAGCTATACAACTTGAAATGCGTTTCGATTTCCCACCTACCATCCTGAGAATCATTCGAGTTGCCCGGGTGAGCCGACTCCTGAGGGTTATTCGAGGGGCCCGGGGACTCCGGACCCTCCTTTTTGCACTGCTGATGTCCCTTCCTGCTCTTACCAATATTGGGCTCCTGCTTTTTCTGATCATGTTCATTTATGCTATTTTTGGCATGGGCAACTTTGCCTGTGCCAGTCTGAAAGGAGGC